TCTAAAATTCTAAAATTCTAAATGTCTAAAATTTTAAAATTCTAAAATTCTAAAATTCTAAAATTCTGAAATTCCAAAATTCTAAAATTCTAAAATTCCAAAATTCAGAAAAATTCTAAAATTCTAAAATTCTAAAATTCTAAAATACTAAAATTCTAAAATTCTAAAATTCTAAAATTCTAAAATTCTAAAATTCTAAAATTCTAAAATTCTAAAATTCTAAAATTCTAAAATTCTAAAATTCTAAAATTCTAAAATTCTAAAATTCTAAAATTCTAAAATTCTAAAATTCTAAAATTCTAAAATTCTAAAATTCTAAAATTCTAAAATTCTAAAATTCTAAAATTCTAAATGTCTAAAATTTTAAAATTCTAAAATTCTAAAATTCTAAAATTCCGAAATTCCAAAATTCTAAAATTCTAAAATTCTAAAATTCTAAAATTCTGAAATTCCAAAATTTTAAAATTCTAAAATTCTAAAATTCTGAAATTTGAACTTTTTCATTTTTTTTTCTGTTAAGTGGTTCAGAATCTGAATTAATGCAAGTTGTTAATAAGATTTATTCAAATTTATTCAAGTTCCTTTCACTCATGGGGAGAATACAACTGATCTCAATTCAGGGAAATCATTTTCAAAAATAGCTGTCTCATCAGACGATCGTTTCTTGGACATCGATTCCTGTCTCGTCTGCTCTTTTGAACTGTCAGTGTCCTCCTTCTGTTCCTTTTCCAATTTTTTCATGTTTTTCCTCTGAACTCCTGAAGACGTGACCAGTAGAAATCAGCAAACAGGAGAATCATGACTGAGAGCCCGATTTGTAAGGTGAAGATTCCAAGGGCGTTCGCATCACATTGGGTTCCTCGTGTCATTTTCTGCAAATTCATGTGAAATGAAAACGAAAAAAAAACGAAAAAAAACTAACTGCAGCTGCGAATAGTGTTGCAATGAATGGAAGAATGAGTTGAAGCATTTGGGATGAACATACAGCTACCCAACAAGGCGTCCATCTATTCAGAATCTTGTATCCAGACAAATAGGCATAGAGAAAGACGTGAGCTGTCAAATTGAAGAAAACAATCCAGCGATGAATTGCAAAGTTTTGAGAATAGAAGGTAAAGGCATAGGAGAGAGATAAGAAATGATGGATAATGTGGATTGTGAGTGGGCGGCGAGCATCATAAAGAAGAAGCAACGTTTCGAAAAGATCAACGATTTTGGTTATCGTCCAGATGAAGACAACCGTTCCAGATAAGAATCCTGAACATAAAATATGCTACTAAATGACTATTGATTCATTGCCCACCAGTATATAGAGATCCTGCTTGGCAAACAGAATAATGCCATCCGCTGAATAAACTAATCAAAATCTCAGGAATCATCAAAAGACCAAGTACCAACTGGAAAATGCAATTGAAGTAGTACCTTGAAATATTGTGCAAAGTAAATCTACCATTATTTTGAAAATGCCTACCATTCTTTCAGATATGACCGATCTGAATTATGAGATGGTCTGAAGTTGAAAGCAATGAACACGTACAAGATTCCAAGAAGATGGATTGGGATAAAAGACACATTGACAGCTGATGAGAACCATGAGTATGGGAACTGAAAAAATATTTGTTTTATGGTAAGAGGATGTTTTTTATACCATTTCTCCTTTAGTAGAATTCCTAGTAGACTGTGTTTTTAAAATAACTGTGAACTTTTGTTTTTAAGGGGTTCTTCAAACTTGATGTTGGTTGATTTTCAGATTTTTTAGCATCACGTTTTTTATTATTATTGTGGTTTTGTTTGTTTTCTCTGGGATTAGCTGGTTTTCTCTAAATAGGCCAATTTCTGTTGTTGTTTTGTTGATCGCGTTTAAAGGTACAGACCTTTGCGCGCTCCAGGGGCCCCGCCATGAAAGAGGGGAGTGAGGGGGAAGCGCCGCCCATCGGGCCTCCAGTCTACGTGTGTGTTACGTCCCGCCCGCCCAGTCCCCACATTACGATATGCAACAGCACAAACAGAAAAGTCAAACTAATGAGTAGAGTAGAGACACAAGAATCTGAACGTGATAAAGAAAGAGAATAGTTTTATAGTTACGTCGTATTTCAGAAAGAAGAAAGTTGAAATTCCTGGAGGATGTAGCTGAGTATGGAGGACCAGTGGACTTCAACCAACTCATACATGTTCTACAAACCGTCAGCAGAAAGGCGAAAGCCATCAGTACAATAAAAGCTTATGAGCGAGAGAATCATGTGAGGAGGAAGTGGTTAAGCGCAAACCATCTCCCTTTGGACGAGAAAACGACGATTCTCTATTTGGCTCATCGATTTTTGACAACAGGAAGCGGATCTCTGGCAAAGATCGCTTCCGCGTTTCAAATGGCAAATGGGACATTCTCGGTTCTGGAAAGTCAAATGGTGTCGGATATGATCAGAGCAAAGAGAAGAGAGGAGATAGCCACCAGACAACAACCGAAAATGGTGGAACTTGAGAGTATCCAGAAACTTTTTGAATCACTTTCGGATGATCCAAAATCGGAGCGAGATACACTCATAGTAGTCTTGTCGTTTTTCGCTCTCCTTAGAGCAAGTGAAACTGCAGAGCCGAGAGAAGTGGGAAGATATCAAGTATTCTAAGAACCGTCTAGAAGTCCGAATCAGATCGGCCAAAAACGATCAGCTAGGTCTGGGACGGAGCACTTTCGTGGAATGCCCAGAAGGAGGAGATCTAGATTGTCTCATCAAGCGATGGAGAGTTAGAGTCTCTCTATCAGAAAGTACGTCAGAGTTCTTGTTCCCGAGTTTTCAAAAAGGTGATACGCTATCAGCAAATACTATTTCATCTTTCGCCAGAAGACGTCTGGAAATGATAGAAGTGAGCGCCACTCATCACGCGCTCAGAAGAGGATCGGCGAACGAACTTCAGGCCAAGGGACTCAATTTGGAGCAAATCAAAGCCAAAGGACGGTGGAGATCGGGAGGTGGCTTGATGAGATATCTTCAAGACAATCCAATGGCCCAGGGACTCAGCGAAGTTCCAGAGGAGAAAGAAGTGACAGGGGAAGCCGAAGAGGACGATGGACCACCAGTGCTAGAGGAGGAAGTCTAAATTGACTCAATTGCTTGCTAATCTTGTAATATTTGTTAGAATCGTATTAACAGGTTATTGTAGTACCGAAACGTTTCTTGGTTATTTATCAAATCTATCCGCTTCATAGTATATTATTGTTTTATTATTGTTCTCATTAACAAGTGTCTCCCTCCCCTCTTTTTGTTGTTTGTTCTCACTAATTTATCGCTTGTTTCTCATCTTGTGTCATCCAAAAATTCTTCTGTCCCCGCTGCTTAGTTATCACTGGATAACTACTTTCCCCTTGTCATTATACCCGTACGTACAGTACATCTTTCTCTGTTAACAGCACCACTACATTCTACACACCATATCCATCCTAAATAAACCTGTATCATCCATAATTTTCGTTTTTAGTCTTATATTTCAGCGTAGGACTAGAGAAAACAATTTCTCCATGACACACAGTGGAGAGGAGAATTTACTTTACTATGATTCAAAGACTACTATTGTTTTTAAGGATTACTGTAGTTTCGCAAATATTACTGTAGTTTTTTTTCAACTTCAAAGATTGCGGTAGTTTTGGAATTTCAGGGACTACTGTAGTTTTTGTAATTTCAGAGATTACGGTAGTTTCTCGAAAATGCAGAGATCACTGTAGTCTCTCAAATTTCACAGATTACTGTAGTTTCAGAATTTTGAAGATTACTGTAGTTTTCAAGGATTACTGTAGTTTCCTAGTTTCACATGTTACTGTAGTTTTTTGAACTTCAGGGAATACTGTAGTTTTCAAGGATTACTGTAGTTTTGGAATTTTAAGGATTACTGTAATTTTTTTAATTGCAAAGGTTACTGCAGTTCTTGAATTTTAGAGACTACTGTAGTTTTGCAAATATTACTCTAGTTTTCTAATTTTAGTGACTACTGTAGTTTTTGGAATTTCGGAAATTACTGTACCTTTTTCAATTTCAGAGATTACGGTAATTCTTGAATTTCGGAGACAACTGTAGAATTTCAAATATTACTGAAGTTTCAGAATTTCAAAGAGTACTGTAGTTGTTGAATTTTGAAGACGTTGAATGATCTATTTGATTTTGTTGTTATTCTCTTAATTGTTATTGTTTTGCATAAGTTTCGTTTTGTTGAATTTATTTATTTTTTGAAAAAAACAACGAAACTTTAACAATTAAAAAAACAGACACAGTAAACAAACAAAGCTTTAACAACGAACAACAAATTTAAGAACACAAGAATCTATTTATTATCGTCAAGAGAGTTCGCCATGGAGAACTTGACCATCTTTGCTTGTCGTTGTTTTTCAGCCAGCCGATCCTTGTTCTTTTGGGAGTTTTTCAATGACTTCTTCATCTGAAAAAGAGGCGACATTAAATTATTAACTTATTGTAAGTGAACTCACCGAATTCATTTCATCCGTCTTTGTGGCCTTCCTGTTTTTTCTCTTCCACTCTTTGGTGTCTTCGATTTTCTGATTCAACACATCAATAGCGTTGTCGCCAACCGCTCGCAATCTTGAGACGATTTCAGCAGTGATATACTTTGTTCTCATTGAATCAGAACCATCCGAACGAGGAAGAGGAGCGGAGAGTTCAGAACGAAGTTGTGATTGAAGTTGACGACTTTTCCTTATCATTTCGTCTACTTCCAAATTCAGACCGCCCATTTCACGAGAGCGAGTCTCATCGTAATCGAGATCAGCTTCACGGGCAGCCTTTTCGAACCAGGATTCGGACATTTTGATCTAAATCGAGTCTACGATAAAACATCGAAATTAATAAGAAAAAATGAACCTTTTTGCACCGAAACTCGAGAGAATCAATCTCAGACGCCAATCGTACTCGCTTCTTGATAGCAATCATAAGTGGCTCGAAATCGATTGGGAAGATGTCCAAGTCTTGCACTAAAAAATCCAGGAATATTAATTTTCATTATTTTAAATAACTTACTTCTATTCAATCCTTTACATAACTTCATATAGAACTGTCTACTTTGAGGATCAACAAGAACAACAGTCAATCCACGATGTGAAGCTCTTGCGGTTCGTCCACTTCGATGAATATAAATCTCTACTTTTTTGGGCACTTGGTAGTGAATGACGTGGTCAATTCCCTTAAACAAAAGACATCTTCTACACACCTTCATACTATAGATTACCTGAATATCCAATCCACGTGCAGCAACATCTGTAGCAATCAGAACTGCATTTTTCGATTCTGCAAACTTTTCCAAATTCCGAAGACGTTGCTTCTGAATCATTTTAGCGTGAAGAATCATTGGATCGATATTGATAGCATTCAAAATATGATGAAGACGTCGTGCGGCATCGACAGAATTGACAAAAACCATTGTTCGTCCTGGGTAACGGTTGAGGAGATAGACCAGCGCAGTATCCTTTTCGACGAGATTTCCACAATTGATTCTGGCTTCAACAAGACATCCAGCGGTACCCATTTGACGAGTCAAATCAATGACTTTGTGCTTGTTCTCGCGAAGTCCGGTTAGCTTGATAAGGCGTTCTGGAATGTGTGTATGTGAAAAATTGAGTCATACGAATATCGAAAACCCACGAATTTTTTGATGAGCACTCAATTCTTTGGCCTTCTTCTTTTCCTCCTCTGCAACATCCTGTGCCTTGGCAAAAGTCAACGTGGCAGAAAAAACCAATGTCTGAAGCTTCTCTTTATCCGCTGCCTCGTGAATTTTGTTCAGAATATCGGTCAGCTCAGAAAAATATCCTTCTTCCACCATTCGATCAGTTTCGTCTACAACTAGACACTTGAGATTCGACCATTCCGCCAGGTAGCTCCCCTCTTCAGCTTCCTTAAACGTTAATATTTTTCTATACATTTCTAAAAAGATACCGAGGGAAAATTCCATTATACCCCCCACACAGTTACGACCCCCCACGTACTGGAATAACCCCCCACCCCGTTGAAAAGTGGGGGGTTAAAAAGGTGGGGTCTCAAAATGGGATGATCAGGTGGGGGGACACTTTAGAGTTCAGAATATCCCCCACCGTTGATTTGGGGAGGGGGGTTATATTGGAATCCGTGGAAATCTTTCATTATAACCCCCCACACCAAACCAATATGCACCCCCAAACGGAAACTTTTCTAGGGGTCTTGTTTTTCTAGGGGTCTTGTTTTCAAGGTATGCGCCGATTCAGGGTGCTAAGCTTATTTTTATTTGGAATCTTCAACATTCCTACCCGTTTTTGCCTAAGCCTATTTTTTGTTGGGGACTGGCACTAAATAATTATTTCTCTAGTAGAATGACAAAAAATGTACGGTAATATAAACCAGAAATCAGGAAAAATTGAGAAAAAAGAAGAAAAAACGCGGAAATCTAAGGAAAACTAACAAAAACCGGTGCAAAATCGATAAATAACAAATATTTTTCTATGCGTAATTTGGCTGCGTACGTTTGATCTTCAGGCAAAAAATCAGGAAAAACATTTTTTGAACCCCCCCCCCCACCTTATGAAAAATGGTGGGTGGGGGTGTATTCCAACATTTATGCCCGGGGGTTATATTGGAATGTTTCGGGGGGCTATACTGGAATATACCCGATACCGATACCTGGATCATTGCCCATAAACGTCCTGGAGTCGCTACCACAATATCCGGGTTTTGCTGAGAGATCACACGCTCTTGTTTGACTTGAGCAAGTCCTCCAACAATCGAAACGGCTTTCAATGGAGTTGTCGCAATAAGTGAATTGATGTGCCGCATGATTTGAATGACAAGCTCACGAGTTGGAGCGACGATAAGGGCACGAGGTCCTGAAACCATATAACTCAATAGAGTCACAAATGTTCTGTCATACCTTTCGGTGGTTCCTCTTCCTCCTTGTTGGATAGCGCTTCTAGAAGACGTGATACTAGTGGAATTCCAAACGCCAGCGTTTTTCCACTTCCCGTTTCAGCCGCACCGAGAACGTCTTGTCGATCGCGAACAGCAATTGGGAGAACAGCCGATTGAATTTCCGTAGGCTGGGAGAATCTGAAAAAAGAAAATGGTGAAAGGTATTTCCACTAAATTCATTATTTTACCCCATTTGCTCAATAGCTTCGAGAATCTCATTCGGCAGAAAATAGAACTGTTTCCATGCTGAAACATCCGTTTCTTTCTTCGCCTTCTTCTTCTTATCGTTGTTCTCTTGAATCTCTCCGCCTTTCCTTTTTTTCTTCCCATTTTCTATAGGTGTTTCCATGGATTCCTGTCCCTTCTCAAGTTCTTTTTGCTCTTTCCTGCGTGCTAATCTCTCTTTTCTCTGCTTTCTGTTCGCTGCCATTTGCTCTTTCCGCTTCAACTTCTTCGCAAGACGACGTTCTTCGATGGATTTCTCTTCATTCTCGGGGTTCTTGCTGCCCACCGTATTCTCTTCTTTTTTCTGAAAACCAAACATTTCTTTTCTCATCTCAAAATAAAATTTCAAATGTAACCTTTTGCTTCTTCGATGTTTTCTTCAGCTTCCTCTCCGACACTTTATCGACAGTCTCCGGAAGTACTTCTTCGAATGAGCCCAAAAATTGAAGCATGTCATCATCGAAGTCTCCATCCATGACTTCCACATCTGCGGTTTGCCATTTATCACTTGAAATTGAAATTGATGTCATTCTGAATATTTTTTTTTTTCTATGAAAGAGAAACAACAGTAATAAATAGCAAAGAGATCATTCAACAGAGAAATGGTAACTCACAGGAACTAGCTGAAAAAAAAAGAGGAATAAAAATAATTCAATGGGTCATTTCTCAACAATCAACAAGTTTATAGCAAAACAAATTTAAGAACAACGATTTCAGAGACAACAAAAACAAAAAATAAAGAAAGTGTATAACAAGTTTTAACGATGAAAAGAGAACATTTTTGCACCATTTTAACAAGACATCATTCATCTATTATCAGAGAATCCCCTTCATCACTGCCTAACGGATTCTCCCAACCTTCCTCGTCCGACAAATCTGAATCATCCTCCTCGTCGTCATTCTCTGACGCTTCTTTCGCTTTGTTTGATGGCTTAGATTTGCGAATTCGTGTGATCCAGCCCAAACTAAACTTGGCTTGATTGGCGCTGAAAACGTTGTAAACGTTGTTTGCAAGAAAGCTTATCACTCACAGTTTTTTAATGTGCTCCTGATGAAGAGCTACAAGTTGCTGGACTCCAGTGAGAGTTGCCACATCAACAATTCCTTTCAGCTGCATGCCATGGACTTGAAGGACTGCACGGAGCCAAATCTGAAAATAGGCAATAATTAGAGTCATGAATTTTTTCCACATTCAAACTAACCATATAGAAATGAACCTCGTCAGTAGACGACATTACATTACCTTCGACCATCCACTTCAGAAGACGTTCCGCATACAATGTTGAAAGAGAGCCAGCAACAAGAGGGACTGAAAATTATGGAAATGACTGTAAAAGCCTTAGAGCTGAGAAAGTACACTTACTCTGTGTAACACCCGTAGCCTCTATGCATTCGGTGATGCGATCTGACTTGTTAAGACGGAGAGCAGCCATTAAAGCAGTTGCGTAATCATTATTTCCCAAAGCTCTGAAACGAAAAATTAAGCTCTCCAGGTTAAAACGATCTTTTTTCACCTGTCGATGACTTTATCAGTAGTTTTACTGTCAAGTTGGAACGGATCGAAAATAGACAAGGTGTTCAACGAGTAAACAGCAACTCCTTCTGTTGAGCAGACAGCAAATCTTCTACCGGTTGGGCAGAAAGTCACTTCATAGATATTCACTTCCGGTCGAGACCTCCGTTCACCCAAATCGAAATTTTTAGTTCCTGGGAGCTTGATAGCCATCTTGTTGTTCGGTTCATCGTCCTCATTCTCATCGGAAGTATCGACAAGTTGCATGTTTCCAAACTCTGTGAAATTGCGGCGATTGAAATCAAGCACAACGCCATCCAGACTACGGTTTTCGGTGATTTTCCATTTTTTCAATATCAAACGATCAGGGACTGAAAAATACTGTGGTTTTAGTGATATATGATGCGTCTGAAACTACCAGAATACATGCAAAAGTTGTTAGAATCTCCACCGGCTAAAATCATGTTTCCATTTGGAGAGAATCGAATTCTTGTGAACGTTTTGGTCTTGGCAGCTGACTGTCTGGTAATCGTGTCACGAGATCCACGCGAGGGATCAGTATCCAGTTTGGTATCAATAGTTCCCAGATTCAGCATCTCTTTAGCTTCAAAGAAGGTGATAACTCCATCGGAAGTGAGAACAGCGATCACATCTCCAGCTGGTGAGAACTTCACATCGAGAGCTTCATGGGAAACTTCCACAGTCTCCGCTTGGGAATCCACGATGGTCCAGACCTGTAAACAGATTTTAGTTATCACTGTAGGCAGCTCAGATTATCAAACCTTGATTGTACGATCCCACGATCCGCTGACAATATGATTTCCATGAATATCAATAGCTGAAACAGCCGATTCGTGTCCACTCAGGATATCCAAAAGATGGCCAGACTCAAATGACCAAATGTAGATATTAAAAACTTCCTTGGCTCCTGCGACAACCAGATCTCCTGCTTTATCGACTGCCAGTGTTGCCAACTGGGTGGGCTCCGGGCATACAAAAGTTCGGAAGTTTCGATAACGCTTCAAATCGTGAGCTCGGATGGTTCCATCAAGCGAGGCACTCAGAATAGCTCGTCCGGATTGTGCCCACTTGACAGAAGTCACGCCAGAAGTATGCTCATCGAAAGTAACTGTACAAAACGATGATCTAGAATTCCAAATCTTCACTTTTCCGTCTTCTGCTCCGGTAGCGATGAGTGCTCCGTCTGGCGAGTATTCAGCAGTAGTAATTCGAAGCGAATGACCTTGTTGTTTCATCACATATGATTCTGTTTGCCACTCCCAAACAACCAACTGCGCAGTTGATCCTTTTCCACATCCAATAGCGAGCCAGTCTCCACTTAGATTCCATTCAACTGTCTGTAATATTCAAATACAACAGTACATAAGTAATGCAGCATTCCAACCTGAATTCGCATCTCTGAAATGCGCAAGTTGTGAATCAACGCGAAAGTTGGAATTTCGTGAAGAACAATCACTCCGTTATTGAATGCTGTTGCAAGAATTTTGGTATCTTTACTGTACTGTGCAGCTGTGACGTCTACGGATTTTCCGGATCCAGAAGACTCGGTGAGCCAATACTTGTTGGTTTTTTCGAAAAATATCTTATCAACTTTCGACTCGTCATCTTCCATTTCAACATCATCGACGCCTTCTTCGTTTTTCTTCCAAACGCCTTTTTTCAAGTCTCCCGGTGTAAGATTACATGTCCAAACGTTTGCAATGCCTCTTTTGCAGACAGAAATCATCTGAAATCCAAGTAACGTTTTCAGAAAACTTTTACAAAAACTCACATCATAAGTTCCTTTCATGAACTGACAATGCACGATGCTGCCCTTATGGGAAGATAAAGGGTGAATGAAGAGATTCTGGAAGTCTTTGGAACCAACCACACGGAGAACTCGGTCTTCTCCTCCAGCCACGAGAAGACTGAAAATTGTGAATTTGAATTTTCAACATTTATCAGTAAACTCACTTCGAATCGTCCGACCAGTTTACACATCTCAATCTTTCACTACTCAACTTATACGTTCTGCTCAGATGAAGTGGAGTGATCGTGTAATTGCGGGACTTTCCCAAGTTGAAAATTTGAAGATCGTTCTCACGACAGACAACTACTCTTCTAGAACATTAGACGGACATTAGAAGCGTTCGAATGCTATTTTATCTTACGTTCCCTTCGGCGAATATTTGAGATCTCCAATGAGTGCATTACTACGATAATTGAAAATACTCGCTCCGGTGGATATTTTAACGAAATGCACATCTCCTCCTGAAAAAAATGAGGATTTTTCAATGCTTTAAGGAAGTTCATATCATTCAAACAGTTTTTTATAAACAATGAACAAAATAACATACGTTCGTCAGCTACTAATAAGTGTGATCCCGTAGTACTTATTGAAACTCGTTTGATATTAAACTTGCAGCCGAAATCTAATGTTCTTGCGACGTTGCTGTAACATTAACAAGTTTGAAAAATAATTTCGAATACTATTTCAACTTTTTTAGGTCGAAAATTGACAGTTTATTGCCGATTGGAGAGATAACCGAGTCGCCATCTCTAGTGAACGTCACTTGTCCGTCTCGATACACAGTTCCGATGTAGTTGGATAACTGGAAGAAGAACACTTTTCTCTAGTTTTATGAGAATAATAAAAAATCTCACCTTAAAATTTGTGTCCATATTGGTTTGAATAGGTGAATGAAGACCTGAAAAAATGGGGAAAATTTCAGGCTGGCGCAAATTGCAATTTGCTGACGCAATTCGTGTTACGAGACGCAGTGAAACGTTGACACATCTCTCGCTTCATCGCAATTTCAACAACTTTGACAGATTTCGAGCATTTTTCGAGCAAAACACAGTTCAAAATATGTTCCCGAATTCAGGGCCGATATTTAACACATTTCACTTCATACAATTACATTAAAGGGTTCAGAGCTTTATTAAATCCAGAAAAAAATTACAGGGAATCTTAATTCAAGTAAAAAAAATAAATTAGCTTCTTCGTTGCTTCGACCACATTTTAGGTGACTCGGATCTATCGCGAACTGGAGACTTCGTCTGGTCACGACGTCTTCTAGGCGGAGAGGCAGATGGAGACATGTGGTGATTCTTTTTGCCACGTATCGGCGATGGTGAAGAACGACGTCTTCTGGCCGGGGACCGAGTAGCAGATGGTGAGCGACGTCTTCTAGGTGGTGATGGTGATCTTCTAGAAGGTTTGCGTTTTTGGATTGGTGACCGTGATGAGTGTCTTTTCTCAGCTAACGGAGACGGTGAACGACGTCTTCTCGATGTTGAAGGTGAAGAACGGCGTCGGCTTTCGGGGGAGTGATGATTTCTGGAATAGTAGCTTGATTAATAAACAAAACTTCGTGAATGATATTACTTTTCTGGAGACTTCCTACGCTTCTGAACTGGAGATCTCGATCGGCGTTCATCTTCAGAAGAGTCGTGACGCCGTCGTGTTTTTGGCTTTTCAGAAGAGTTTCTTCGATTCCTCACTGGCGATTCAGAGTCGTGACGTGCGCGTTTCCTGGATTCCTTTCGTCTCTGATCCTCATCGCCACTTGATTCCACTTCTTCCTTGATCTTTTTGGTGCGGTAATCCGGAGAGTTCTCAACCTCTTTTTTTACTCTTTTCGATGTCTTTTGTTCAGTCCAATCATCTTCGCTTTCATCTGAATCCGATGACTCTTTTCTGCTTTTCTTTCTCTTATCTTTCTTCTTTTTCTCTTTCTTACTCTTCTTATCTTTTTTACTTCTCTTATTAATGATGTCTTGCCAATTAGCTCCTCCCATTGTCAACTTCTTCATTAATTTCCTTTTCTGCTTATCACTCATCGAATTGAAGAACTCCAACATTTCCTCTTCCTCAGTTTTCTCCTTCTTCATTCTTGTCAGCTGCTGATCGGTTTGCATTCCAGCCAATACTGAACCTTTCAGTACAATACCGTGTTCTTCTCGCATATCGCTAGCCAACTGTTGATGGTCCATCCATTCGTCGTCATCGTCCTCTGCTGCTGTCGCTGTCGACTTAGACGGTCCCGAGGTTCCTTCTTGTCGTCGTCGTCGGAGATCTTTGATGAGATCAGACGGATTGTTGGCGTCTGAAAAATAATTCGGTTATTCTTTTTCATAGCAACTATAAAATTAACTTACATCCTTCATCCTCGAAATTACCGGATTTTCCAAACAATGAACACTCTCTGTCCGTGTTAATATGACCCCATTTGTGGCATTTACAGCATCTGACATTTCTCACTTGAATTCCGAATGGCTGATCTTGAATATCGTCGTTTCCTTTTGCCCAATCTTCACGAGGAGCTTGATATTTCCTTTGCCATTCGAACTTTGGCTCCTCTTTCGGTTCCTCTCGTTTTGTCATACCAGCTGGAGCATCGTACATGAAGGAAAGTCCCATTTTTGCCTTCTCGTCTCCAAGGAGAGCTCTGAAAAAAAATTTGATTGTCTTGGTTACATATTTAGGTCAGAACTAACTTATTATTCAAAATTTCTTGCTCCTTTTCGTATGCAACACGCATCTCTTCTTCTCGTTTATTCTTCAATGTTTCCTTTTGTCTCGCTTCCCACACCATTTTGAGATTCCGAAATGCGGACGGATGGAAGTCCTTTTTGGACATGAAATTTTGAAATCCCTTTCCCATGTTTGCTGTGAGTTCAGATCCGTTTCGGACTGACGAATTTCAATGAAAAGAACCTGAAAGAATCGAATTAATACGGGGAAACTTGAGAAAATTATGTGACAACAAGGTATGCAATACAGTTAGGAAACTGATAGAAACATGGAAATCGTAGAATCTGATTGATAATTGTATATTTAAAATATCAACAAAAAATAAACGATAACAGCAACAACTCAAACAAAAACAATTAAGAAGTTTCGAAAATCTTGATGGAACAATCGGCAGATCCAGTGGCGATGAGTCCCTCGTTCCAAGCAGCGCACAGAATACGATCTTCGTGTCCATGAATGTCAAAGAGAGACGACTTCGAAGAGCTATAAAGCAGTGTTGTTTGATTATTCATCATCATAATATATCTCTAGATGAAGCTACTTACCGCACATCCCACATTTTGGCAGTCTTATCAGTCGATACACTGACAAACTGATTCTCATCCACCGGATTCCATTTCACAGACTCTACCCATCCGTTCTGGTGGCCGATGAATGATTGTTTTACCATTGCACCGTCTGAAAATGAGGTCTTCATATAGTGTTATCACTAAAAACAAAAAAAACGAACCTCGATTTTTTGGGTCGTAGAGTCGTGGAATGGCGTCAGTGCAACTGGAGATCAGAAGGTTACTTGTTGGATGAATGTCGATACTGGTGAATGATTTCGGGCCTTTGATACGAGACACTTCTCCAGCTGAATCGTTTTCTGTTTCATCGGACAGAACTCTCCATTATCTTACCTAATTCCAAATCCCACTGAACAACTGTATGATCCCAAGAACATGAGAACGCGTGGCCAGACTTCCACGGACACCACACAACCGACGATACCTTATCCCGGTGTCCACCAATCGTCACCATTGGAACTTTTGTTCTTGTATCCTTCTTCCTCTTCTTCTTAGCACTACTCTCTTCTTCTTCTTTCTCGTAAATGGTCGCCTCGTCAGATGGATCCAAATTCCAAACTTTTAGATTCGTGTCCACTGAACCTGATATAGCGCGTGTTGCATCAGAATTCACAGAGACACACTCAACGGCTCTCTCGTGTCCACGGAATACGATCTTTTCGACAAGTGCTCCTTTTTCAATTTCGTAAAGTGTCAACAGTTGATTCTCGCCACCAACTATAAATTCAGTGCCTTCCAATTGCACCTTTTCTTAAATATTTAAAATTTGAAACTCGTTATTTTGATTCAGACCGTACTTGTAGTTCTAACAATTCCACTGCACTTGAGAATGCGATTTGCTGAGTTCACAGATAACTTGGTTTCTTTTCCTTTTCTGTCGACAATCACAATATCTCCTCCGTAGGTTGTGGAGAAAATGCTGAACAAATTTGTTGATTTGGTACTGTTTTAGTATGAAACACTAACTGTCCATTTGCGACTTGAACTGAAGATACCCAATCCGGTGCTTGAATATCGTGGAGCGGCTTTGGAGCCTCGATTCCAATAATGCACTCGATTTTCAGAATAGTTTCCTGAAAATTTTCAACAGAAATGTTTCTTTCGACAGCAAGATATACTCACCGTCTCAACTTCATACTCTTCAATAAATTCAGCGAGACTTGTTCTCAGAAAAGTTTCTCCTACAAGAAACTCGAACTTCTTTTCTTTCCATGCGTCGTCCGTTGCTTGAATTGTTTTGTTCAAAAGAAGGTTCAAATCGTCGCATTCGGCAACTGTCGGCACATCGAACACGGCATCCGGGATTTCAGGGAGACTGCAAAAGATAACGTTAATTTTTTTGTATTTTGCACCGCAGGTAGCAGTTTTATAAATACGACAATACATTTGGAAGCTTTGAAAATAAAACTTACTCTTTGTCTTTACTGAAGAATGTTATTTGAACGTGCTTCAGATTCTCAGACGTCGTCCCGTTGTCCACCTCCATTGATTCGGACAAATCCATTCCTACCTGAAACTCGAGTTTATTCAGAAAACCGGGAAAAGAGAAACGAGATGAAACGAAATACGGATAAATATAAAAGAGTGACATAAATTAAAATAGCTGGACGACGAAAACACCCGTGAGAATGACTACTCTGGGGTTATGGGGAAACCGATCAAAATTGTTGGAAAAGAAAGAAAAATCCTGAAAATTATCGCTTGAAAAGAGACCAGATTGCAGTGAGAGCAACTCCGAGAAGAGCCACAAATAATCCTTGCTCTCGCATTCTTCGTCTCTCGTTTGTTTCTTCCAGCTCGAAAACTCGGGCACTGATTTTTCCCATTTGCCGACGTAGCATTTTCAGTTCCCGCAATGGATCTTCATCAACAACCATTGAGTTATCTGTACGAGCGGTGTCAATCTGAAAATGTGTTTGGTAATTTATGAGAAACATGTTGCTCTAAAAACCTGGCGACGTGAATCCTCAACCGGATATTGAGTATCCGCAACTGTCAGAACTTCAGGAACATCATTCAAGTAGTGACCAGTTTCCGTCGGAAGTTTGTCCATTCCATTTCGATAATCTTCTGTTATCCGTCCATAACTATCACCGCCAGTGACTGTAATTCGATCAGGAACTTCCATCTGTTCAACGAGTGACTGACGATTTCCACGACGATTAGGCCCACCGCCAGAATGCCCTTGCATTTCATCACCAGTCGCTGTGATGTGCTCAGGGACGAACATTTTCTGAATAAGATTCGATTACTTGGCTTGAACAAACGATGAAATATCGAAAAAAGAGTTTCGAAATATGAGAAGAAAATCAAACTAATAGTTGATTCTTTGAAGCTGTTTTAAAACTATTGAAAGTGTGAATTGCATCAATTCTAAGAAAAAAAAAGAGTATTCGTTTCATAACATCAAGTTTTTTCGTCATTTTGACAGAGTTAGCAAACAATTTTACATAGTAGATGACGAAATTTTCAGACTGTTGTAAGTTTCAAATAAATATGAAGTAAAATTCCCGAAAATTTCCGAAAAGGCAAAAGAAAACAATTGCAAAGTGAATTAAAATTACTTTCGAATTGCAAAAAAAATCACAAGGGACTAGAACTTGCGTTGTCGGAATCTAGGCCGCGTGCGATAAAATGCGCGGGAGTTCGAAAACTGTTTCCTTGAGTGCAAACAAGAAACCTAACCCAAGTGAGGGAATAAACATCGAGAAACAGTTAGTTAACAACTTGTTAGCAAAAAACACAAAATCGAAACAGCATGGCTCGGAAGAACTGACTGAAAAATATAAGCTCTGAAAGTACCAATTCATCACTCTTGGAGTGAATTTTGAAGAAGTTAATAAGAGTTTTTGGTGTTTTTCCAATGTAATTTGTATTTTTGAATGCTTCTCCATAATCTTTCAAAGTTTTCTCATTATCTCAGAATTGTTTTTTTCTAAAGTTTCCATGGGGTATTTACCTTATTTAAAGATTAATCTACAGTGTAACCCAAGATCCCTCCTAGGAATGATAGCATAACTTTAATTCAAATCATCCCAATTTCATCATAATCTCTCATGCAAGCATGTCCTTTCTCTCCCGTTCTAACCCGCAATTTCATGATTCAGAGGGATGAGGGAAAGTCATCAGGATTGTCTGCGCCTCTCAACATTCACCACAGTACACATGTATCTATATTCTCCTGAATCCGAAAAGTAGGTCGTCCGCGGAGAAGGGGGTCGCTGGTCACCTACCAGAAGAAGATACTGACCGGATATTCCAAAAATTGTACTACATCTGTATTGAGAAGAATAGACTAATTTCAGATTTCAAGGTAACTTTTCATTATGATTGCTTACTGTAGCAGTAGTATACAGTATACCTAAGCGTTCCCAATCCTTCAGAAATGCGCTGTGGTTTCGGTTGCCTTGAACCGAAAGCCGCCAAGTTCTTCCACTCCTATGGTCTACTAGTCTCCCAGTATCCATTCATTTTTCTTATCTCTCCAATTCTAGTCACTTGTTTTTTGGCAACTGGTCTTATTGGATTGGAACCATTGAGTGATGCATTGTATTTGTACACACCAACAGATGCTCCCAGTAAAGTTAGTATTTTTTAGAAAAATGTTTAAAGATTAAAAATGTTGCAGACAGAAAGGCGCATTATTCATGACGCATGGCCATTGGTGGATGGAACTTTTGTTGCAGGAAGAGCGGTGACACAGTCTCGTGAAGTTCAAGTCAGTACTTTATCATTGGAAATAAAAACATATATCACTTTAAGGTAGCAGTAGTGGCTAGAAATGATGGGAACATATTGGAAAAGGTGTTCTCCGATGAATTGAAAACCATGGAGGCTTTCATTCGGAATAATATTACTGTTAGTTTTTCATCACTATAAGATATAACGTAAATGTTGATATTCCAGGTAGAATTCAACAATCGGACATGGTCATTTCCTGATTTGTGCCTGGCTGGTCCTGATGGTCGTTGTGCAAATAATGATCATATTCAATTAGTTTCAAGACTCTATCATCATGGAATCAATATCACTTATCCAACAGTTAGATTGGCTGATAAGTAAGTTGGGATTCTGGGTCTATTGGAGTAAATCTACACTAAGTGTTTGACTATTCTTTGCTAATAGAGCCAACGCCACTCTATACTTGAGCTTTGAGCTCAATTATCTCAATTTCTATGGGAGATAACAAAAGTCCGTCAACAGATAAAATGTGTATCATAATATGATCAACGATTTATCAGTTGACATATCATTGATATCTTTTACAGGAAACGAGATATCGTATCTCCTCTAATAGAAGCCCATGTGCTACTATTTTTTAACCTTTTGCTCAGGGTGGGCTTCTATTTTTGAATGATGTATTTTCAAAAAAACAAATTTCATAAATTCAGGAATTTGACAATTCTGAAGATAAGATTTCTCAAATTCAGTGCTTTGGAAAATTCGAAATGTTCATTCTGCAATTCTAAATCCCAAAATTCCGAATTTATAACATTCTGAGATCTCAGGATTTCAAAATTCGGGGATTCTGAAATTCAGGAAAAATTCTAATAATCGGAAAATTTGAAATTCCGAAATTTAAAAGTTAGAAAATTCAGAAATTGAGAAAATTTCGAGTTCTAAAATCACCGTTCCAAAAATTCTGAAATTTTGAATTACCGTGTTTTTTCTAATATAAGCCCATGGGCTTCCATTAGAGGGTAGGTTTCTATTTTTCTACGCACCTCATGGGGTGGGCTTCTATTAGAGGTGGCTTTCAAATAGAGGTGGGCTTCTATTAGAGGAAATACGGTAACTTTCAATTCAAGATATTTCCAGAAGTGCATACATTGCATCAGCATTGGGCGGTGTGAAACTAGCAAAAGGAGAGAACAACGAGAATATAATTGTTGAAGCGTCTGCATGGCTTCTGATCTACCAACTGAAGTTCTATCCAAACGAAATGTCTTATATCTCTGGATTGTGGGAAAAAGTAGGTGTTAATCATAGATCAGTGATGTATTTCTAGTTTTTAGGAGTTTAAAAATCAGATGGACAGTTACAAAAAACGATCGAAGTACATTTCCATCACTTACTTCCATTCTCAAACTCTCTCGGATGAGTTGAAAAGAAATGCAGAACGACTGGCTCCAAAGTTCATAGGTGCCTTTGTAATCCTTGTTTGCTTCTCTGTTCTTTGTTCGATTGTCACTATAAAAGGATCCGGGTATATCGATTGGGTTGTTACAAAGCCTATTCTCTCTGTTCTGGGTAAGTCCATATGAACAAAATATTTCAATAAAATCAAGAATTCAGGAGTTTCGAACGCTGGCATGGGTATTGCCAGTGCTATGGGAATGTTGACATATATGGGAATTCAATACAATGATATTATTGCTGTCATGCCCTTTTTGGTAGTAGCTGTGGGAACGGATAATATGTTCTTGATGGTGGCCAGTTTGAAACGAACAGATAGGAATTTGAAATATGATCAAAGGATTGCCGAGTGCATGGCGGATGCAGCAGTTTCGATTCTGATTACTGCTTTGACAGGTATCCTTTACTGGTAACCAGTTCAATCTAATCCCTTTCAGATGCTCTGTCGTTTGGTGTCGGAACCATTACAACCATCCCAGCAGTTCAAATCTTTTGCATCTACACCATGTGTGCACTTCTTCTCACTTTCGCCTATCAATTGACATTTTTCTGTGCCGTTCTGGTATACTATACACGAATCGAAGAACAAGGCCTTCACAGTATATGGCTTCGACCTGCTGTCACCTATTCATCCACATCTCCATTAAACGTAAAGTTTTTCTGGTTGGGATCTCAACCTCCAAAAGCATTGCCTTCTTGTGGAACATTCAACAGTTCTACTAGTTCAACTTCTTCAATAATGACTTCATCAAAACATCTTCATCATTGCACCGCCACGTCGTTTTTCCGTAATTGGTATGCTCCTGTTCTAATGCAACCCTGGATTCGAGCTATTGCCGGATTATGGTATTTGATCTATTTGGCGTTATCAATTTATGGATGTTCACATTTGAAAGAAGGATTGGAACCTGCCAATTTATTGGTTGATGACTCTTATGCTACACCACATTATAGAGTCTTAGAAAGACACTATTGGCATTATGGAGCAAGTTTACAGATTGTGGTGAATAATGCACCAGATTTCAGAAATCCGGTAGAACGGATTAACATGGATAAAATGGTACGGTTTTTAAAATTTGTTTTCCATCATTCCCCCAGAAATACAACACTTTTTCTCAGGCCTCCACATTCGCCAACAGTAAAGTTTCAATTGGAGACGAAGGAGTTCAGTTTTGGTTGAGAGAGATGCAAGTTTCAGAAGATGTTCATAAAATCACTTATGATGATGAGGTTACTTTTCATCGTCATCAATGCCACCATATAGTATATTTTCCAGAGATTCTACGATCAAGCTGCGAAGTATATCTACTCTGATATGTCCCAACCCTGGGTAGTGGATGTTGTTTGGGGAAGAAACAATCAATCTGAGCATGTTATTAAATCATATCGATTCATGATAGGAATGAGAGATATATCAACTACTACCAAACAAACCGAAGCTACGAATACCTTCAGGGAAATTGCATCAAGATTCGAAAGATACAATGTGACAACGTATATGCCTTTATGGTTGTTTACGGACCAGTACGCTTTAGTTGTACCTAATACGGTATGTTTGTTTCCAACTGACTTTCATACAATTATCAAGTCAGTACAAGACAGAAATCATAAAGTTTAAACTAATTCAATTTCCAGATGCAAGACATTGTCGTCGCTGTTGCTTGTATGCTCGTTATCTCAGCTCTCCTTATTCCACAACCAGTTTGTTCATTCTGGGTTGCTGTTACGATAGGATCTATTGATTTGGGTGTACTCGGATTTATGACTCTTTGGGGTGTCAATTTGGTAAGTAGCAGAGATGTCCGGATTTCGGATTCCGTATTCCGGATTCCGGATTCCGTATTCCGTGCTTTTTTCATTCCGGATTCCGGATTCCGTGAAAAATATTTTTGTCCGGATTCCGTATCCCGGAAAATTTTAATTTGTCCAGATTCCGGATTCCGGCTGCGAAAAATGTCTTATTCCGGATTTCAAGCATATTTGTTGATTTGCAATTCCTCTGACTTTAAACTTCCGCGATAGAAATGCAAAAATATAGGAAGATACGTGTTTTTAGAACTTTTCTGCCTACGTGGAGAACTCGAAATTCCGGATTTTGTATTCCGGATTCCGGGCATTTTTTGATTCCGGATTCCGTATTCCGGATTCCGGGAACTTTTTATTTGTCCGAATTCCCTTTCTCAAAAAGTCATTTCGGACATCTCTGGTAAGTAGGGAATTAAAAGGATATAACAAATGGAATTGAAAGAACTGAAATTGGCATATTTTTTGGGGTCCCTGAATAATCCTAAAACTTTAGGATGCGATTTCAATGATCACCATAATCATGTCTGTTGGATTTTCTGTTGACTATTCTGCTCATATCACCTACGCATATGTAATATCCAAAGAGACAACTACAACAGCAAGAGTGTGTGATGCACTTGGAGATCTAGGATGGCCAGTTGCGCAAGGTATGAGAAGAATATCAACTTTCAGATTTTATATCATTTTCAGGTGCAATGTCGACGATACTGGCCGTTTCCGTTTTATCCGATGTGCCTGCCTATATGATTGTCACATTTTTCAAAACAGTGTTTCTCGCTATTTCGATTGGATTCCTTCACGGATTGGTTTTTCTTCCATTGATGCTTTCCGTATTTGTTGGTTCGTTTTGGTTTTCTAATTGTCTTTTTTTCAAATTTTGTTTTCAGGATGTTGCTCATCGAAAAAAGTTGAGGTGGAACCGATCAAGGAGCCTCGTTTTATGTTAACATATTGATTTCCGACTGTAAATTCAATGTTGTTTGATGATCTCATGATTGAAACAGAAGCCGTGTGAATTTTGATGAAATTTATATTTTGGAATAACCAATAAATCCCTTTTTCTCATTAAAAGTAAAGACAACCGTGTACTCGGAATTCGAGAATAAGACAATCATAGGTGTTAGAACATTCTTCAGTGTTTTATAATCTTCTAAAATCTTTGAAAATCTAACATTCTAACAATCTTGACAGACTCTAAGAAGGATTCATCCCGAACCCGTAGGACTGGCCTAGGATGAGCTTGATACACCTGTAAAGTGAAACTGTGATGTTCTTATCAAATATATCTTTTAACTTGGAACCTGCAACAGAAATGATTTCATTTTTGTCAAAGATGAGAATTGGAATTGTTTCTATTCACAACCAAAGATAGAGAGAGATTTGTGCATGTGGATATGCAACAGATAGTCCAAACATGATCAACTAAATTAACAGACTAGATTATGACTGATGGACCATTGAAGATGGTTCTAGACCAATTATTATGAATTCCCAGGTAATAGAAGGGAAGAAGAGCACGCAGGAAATGGACCAGGAAAAAGAAAGGGAAAGGCGAGAACTGGAAATAGAGGCATGATCACGCTCCATTGTACTGCCGACACATGATAGGAAAGTAAAGCCAATATGGACACTTTAAAATCTTGAAGAAAATGCACAAAGAAGTGAGAATATATATACACATACAAATTAAAAACAACTATCAAAAACTACTAATCACTTTCTGATCCATCGCTAATGAATCCGACAGTCTCTTCAGTTCGGAGTGGTTTGAATCCCTGAAATTCAGTTTAAGACTTCATATGAAGAATTCCAGCGAAAAAAAGACGACTCACAACATTGCTTCTACTCACTCTTTTATCAAAAAGTGTTCCTCCATTCTCCAAATTTCGACACCTCCTTCTAACACAATATGCTCCTAATACTAGGATGGCAATAGCCAACAACACGAAAAATGAGTTGTATTTTGCATCCGTTTGTGTTAAGGATGGCCATCCCAATGATATTGAAGACGTCATGGATGACATATTTTCTTCTCGTTGTACCTGGAAATTCCAGATTGTTTAAGAATTGTTTATGCAAAAAGTATGAAAAGTAGGCTTTCAGATATCGAAACATTTCCTTCACCCAGGCTCTACAAACATTTTTTAAGCCTAAAAGGGACCTTTGCTCCAACTAAACAAAAATCAAAATAAAAACAGATTTTCAGGAATCCCAACTTTTATTGTTACAATGTTTAAAAAGTTCACTAAATACTATTTTCAGTGTTGTTCGTATTGAATCTGAAATCATCATCAGCAATTTGTAATTTTCGAATAAAAATTACCTTGAATTGCCAGAGTCTTGCTTTGCCCTCAGCAATATCTCCCACAAATATTTGATCTCCATCGGGTGAGACTCTCAAACAGTGTGGCTGTCCAAACTGTGGTCCCATCTGTTCCCGTTTGCCACGTGTTGCTGGTCCAAACGAATACTCGATTAGTCCCGCTCCAGATCTTCCGACGAACACTGCGATACCCTCGGATTCGTGACCCATTATCTAAAATACATAAAACTCTAACCCTGTTAATCCTTCTATGTGCTCACCGGCCTTCCAGGAACCATGAACACATAATCCTCGTGACTTGCAGCCGAATAAATGTTGTTGAACATTCTGAAAATCGGCGAAAATCCACTACACCTTCTCAAAAGAACCTTACGTCGATTTGAATTCCTCAATAACATGCCCTTGAGTTGTCATATGCTGAACCCTTCCATTTTCTCTGTCGGTCACCAAAATGCGTCCTTGAGAATCCGAAACAATGTCATGAGGAAGGTTGAATTGTCCTGCTTCTTCTCCAGGCAATCCGAATTGTTGCTGAAAAATTAGATGTTTCATAAATAAGATTTTTTGCTATTTAGTTAACTCACAATAAATTTGCCATTCAAATCCAGAACTACCACTCGACTGTTACAATATCCATCGGTCACATACAGCTGGTCTCCGATTCTGGTGATTCCTGTTGGCTTGCAGTAGTGCTTCTGATCTGGCCCTGGCAACATCGACTCTCCACTTGTCCAAATATTTTTCAATTCTTCTCCTTCGATCTTCCACTTGGATACTGTATGAGATCCCACATCCGTTGTGTAAACAAAATCATCCTTATCTACGTAGATTCCATGAGGCAAATGGAATTTTCCTGCTCCTAGTTTTTTGTCCAATCTAGTCTGATTTCCATTAAAAGAGACAACTAATATAACTGGATCTTTGATTGGTGTCTTGTCAAGAAGAATATTGTAGTTGTCGAATGTGCTAAAATGAGAGATAGGTGTTCTTAAATTCTAATTTAAATCACTTACTTAGCATCCCATACTCTTTCGGCTCGATGAAAAACTAATAGTTGCTTCTGATTGTTGAATGCCAATCCTGCCACTTGACCTAATTTGATTCCTCCCAGCTTTTCATGGATTGCTTCTTGAACAATACCAAATGGAATTTTCGATTGGTGTGCATGATGTTCTAGTTCAGGGCGAGTGGGAAGTAACTCAAAACCATCGGCAGGATAATCCTTCATCAAATTTGGGTGATCCTGTGAACAGATTGCTCCTTGTGGATACGGATTTTCCATCTTAGCATCATAGTGGAACATCATATAGAAATTGCACATCTCATCAACACCCATGGCTCTGAAAACAGATCCTTTATCATTAGAAGGCTACTCAACAGAATCATACCCCATATTGACAGTTCTGTTCTTATCCATACTGTCAAAACGACACGACGCCGACATTTGATCTCCTTTTCCGATAGTCAACTTCGATGGAATAGCTTCAAAAAGTTGCGGCCATTGTGGATTACGTTTTCCGATTTTGGTCCAGTGTCCATCGTGTTTGAAGAATGCTGATACTAAACGTCCCATAGCATGGGTATGGGTACGGAATGCAAATGGATGAATTGGAGTGGAAGAAGAAAACATGCATGTGATGTTGTTCTGAATTAATAGAACTAATTAATAACACAGAATTTTCAAGAACTCACTTGGAAAGCTGGAAGTTGTGGTGGAATTGGTGTACCCTGACAAATAACATAACAGCAGCCAAATTCATTGGTTTCCTCTGTGAAATGTGCATTGTGACTCCCGAAAAATCATGAACCTCTCCAGCAAACGGTTGAGCATAGTGAACTTGAAGGACGAAGTATTTGATACCATCCTGTTCGTGTCCAACCGAAAACGCCACATCTTTCGGAAGTACTAGGTTCGGAGCATTTCGAGCCCATGCGTATAGGATATAACTTCCTCCTCCCCATCCACAAGTTTCCATCCCTCTCCAGAATCCTTGATCACTAGCTGGCATTGTACATCCGTAAAGAAGCATGTGGTGAACACGATCGGCATGGGCCATTGGCTCGAAGCCGACTGCAAATAATACAGGAGTTTTCAAAAATTTTAGAGGTCAAATTGATGGATTTTGAAATTCTACTCACCAACATATCCAGGTGTTGCTTCTACAGACACTGCCACATAGTCATCGGTCTAAAATAAGAGATTTCTTGAAATTACCGTATTTCCTCATAATTTCAGAAAGCTTCCAGAATACGGAAAAATTCCAAAATTCAGAAAAATTTTAAAATTCTAGAATTCCAAAATTCAGAAAAATTCTAAAATTCTAAAATTCCAAAATTTAGAAAAATTCTAAAATTCTAAAATTCTAAAATTCTAAAATTCTAAAATTCTAAAATTCTAAAATTCTAAAATTCTAAAATTCTAAAATTCTAAAATTCTAAAATTCTAAAATTCTAAAATTCTAAAATTCTAAAATTCTAAAATTCTAAAATTCTAAAATTCTAAAATTCTAAAATTCTAAAATTCTAAAATTCTAAAATTCTAAAATTCTAAAATTCTAAAATTCTAAAATTCTAAAATTCTAAAATTCTAAAATTCTAAAATTCTAAAATTCTAAAATTCTAAAATTCTAAAATTCTGAAATTTTGAAATTCTATGATTCTAAAATTCTAAAATTCTAAAATTCTAAAATTCTAAAATTCTAAAATTCTAAAATTCTAAAATTCTAAAATTCTAAAATTCTAAAATTCTAAAATTTTTTTCTTGTTAGTTTACATTTTGTGATATCTATCCCAGAAAATGAGATATATAGGTAGGGACCACAACATTTTTTCAAACAGCTTTTTTCCAAAATCTTTTTATTTTATAATAATCTCCTTTTCCTAATTAGCATATTTCCAAATTTTCGTTCAAAAATATTCATTCATTCCCGAGTTACAGCTCATTTTGTGCTCCGCATTTTGCCATTTTCGCCCCCAGCATTGCGCGCACGCGGAAAAGTGGGCGGGGCGACGACAGCGCAAGGCTGCCGCGCGGAAGAAATGAACGGTTTTCTCAAGAGATTTTCTGCTGAAATTTAGGTTTCAGAGGGCTGAAATAGTATAAAAACTTGTCAGAAAGTGTGGAAAAAGGGGTTTTGAATGTGCTTAGTGTGATAACAAACCTAATTTTACGAATTTTCGCCGGAAAATGATTCGAAATCGGAAAAAAATTGAAAAACTGCGAAATTACTGAAAAAAAAGCTGAAAAATGAAGTTCTAGACAAGAAATCACTATCAATGCATCCTAAAGGTTCTGCTATCATTCATAACACCTCATAGAATTAAAAAACAACATTTCAAAAAATTATTACAAAAATCGACTCGAACCCGCATGTCTCCGATTAGCACACACCCAGCTTAACCAGTACACCAAACGCGCACCTCAACTAAATATCAGCGCATTGTTTTCTTATAACACCGCCACACGCGCGCTCCTAGAAAAAATTATTTTTTTTCGGGAAATTTCCAGACAAAACTGCTTCGCATTTTCCTGCGCTAACTCGCTGGAATATGTCACAGATATCATCTTATGTGAAGTTTTTTGTAGAATCTGAATATATGAATAACGAAGGTGATACAAATCTCTATTCATGCTAAATTTGAGAAAAACAAAAAAATCATTAAGTATGCCATCTTCCGACAGGAAATAAACTCTTTTCTAATCATCCAATTTTGTTCAAAAGTTGTATATGTAATGTTGAAGAGTAGTATTATCTATAAAAAACATAATTTTTATGTGTTGCCGCAGAAAATTTTTCACAATTTTTACAGCCAGTTTGCCTGAAATGTGCAATTCTGCGCTAACTCCTCACAAGATTTCTCTTTAATTTTCCATTAGAGAATGTCTTCAGTTACTCGAAACAGCAAAAACGGAAAGTGATACAAACTCCGATTTCTTTTACCATTCATTTTTCTGACGCCCACTTCGGTTTTTCGCTTTTTTCTTTTCTCTTGTAGATTTTTCAGTGAAAACAATTACATGTTCGAAATCTACGTAGTCGATTACATAAGGAGACAAATTTTCATATTGAAATATCTCTTCTAGTCATAGTTACAGCCAATCAAACAGCCGAAACGACCATGGGGGGAAAAATAATTAGGCTCCGCTCCCTTTTCTGTGGTCGCTATATATAGGCTCAAAGATGACTACTTGGGTGGGCATCTATTAGAGGGAATACGTCCAAGAGTTTTGTTCTAACTCACCTTTTGGGGAGAGTATCCAATCATTTGAATCGTAAACTTCTGAATTTCTTCATTTTTTGTCGTTCGAACTGCATCAAAACAACATCCAATAGATAATAAGATTAAGCTGAATAGGATGCGGCCATTCATACCTGTAATGGATTTCTTTTTCAATAAAGAAGAATCATTTATGCATAATTACTTGGTTAGACAATTTGAAAGGTTCAGTATATTGAAAAAAAAACTTTTTGAAAGTGTGAAAATGAGAGGTAGTGATAAAATATGATAACTGATAAGACAACTGGGAGAACAAACAGAATAGAACAAAAAATAGACCGCTACATAACACAATATGGATAAGATACGTGCGTTTCGAGAAGTAGGACAATTGGGTTTCAAGGTATAGAAAATACATGATTTAAGCTGAAGATTCTGGTTACTTTCCAAGAAAAATTCAAATCCAGGTCATCTCTTTTCTCACATTTCTTATAGTAACTCTGTTGTGGTAAAGACGCGACTATAAAGAAGAAGAAGAAGAAGAAAACAACAAAGAAGTAGAAAAACACAGAAATGATGAGAAGGAGAAAGAGAAGAAGAAGGACACCACCCGGTTGGTCAGCCGTCTATAAAGTAACATGGATTGCCCATGGATTTGTTGTATTACGACGAATAGTCTGTGTGTACGTGTATTCGATGATCGGAAGAAAAACGACTGAAAATTATAGAGAACGACCGGAGAAGAATACCAAAGAGATGCTGGAAAGAAAAAGGAAAGGAAGTGGACAGCTAGTGATACATGAAGATGACTAACAGCTTGATGAACAGAGAATGGTCATATGGTTGAAATTCGTCTTTTAGTTTTGTCTAGCCTTATAACTTATAAGTTATCACCTGCTAAAAACTAAAAAAAAACACTTTTAGAATTTTAAAATTTTAGAATTTTAGAATTTTAGAATTTTAGAATTTTAGAATTTTAGAATTTTAGAATTTTAGAATTTTAGAATTTTAGAATTTTAGAATTTTAGAATTTTAGAATTTTAGAATTTTAGAATTTTAGAATTTTAGAATTTTAGAATTTTAGAATTTTAGAATTTTAGAATTTTAGAATTTTAGAATTTTAGAATTTTAGAATTTTAGAATTTTAGAATTTTAGAATTTTAGAATTTTAGAATTTTAGAATTTTAGAATTTTAGAATTTTAGAATTTTAGAATTTTAGAATTTTAGAATTTTAGAATTTTAAAATCTTAGAATCTTAGAATTCTAGAATCTTAGAATCATAGAATTTCAAAATTTCAGAATTTTCAAAGTTCGGAATTTTTCTGAATTCTTAAAGTTTCCTGAATTTTTCATTTTTCTGAATTTCTAAAATTGTTCCAGTTTTTGCAGCCAAAACGACTCAAAAAATCGGCTTTTCAAAACCAATCTCTTCCTAAAATTTGAATAAATCCTGATTAATTTAAACTATTTTTTCTGCGAATTCTAGAAATTGACATATATATTTTTTTTGCCTCCTGGGAGACCTCTATTTCCCCGAGGCACATAGAACCCAAGAATTCCAGGAAATCCGGTTTTTAGGAAGCATGTGCTCACTCCACAATTTAAAAATAAACATTTTCTCACTCTTCAAACCCTACGTCATCTATGGGAAAAGAATTGCTTGAAAACAAACTCTGGGAGTTCTAATTGTAAGAAGAACATTCACAAAAAAGGAAATATTCACATGGTCATTTCCCATAGTGAAGTTGCAGGAAATATCATTCAGTATCAGAAAGAATGTCATGGGAATAATTCTAAAAATGTTTACAACCCTCATTTGGTTAGAAACTAATGAAGTTAACCATGCCCCACGATTCCCAGATGACATTAAATGAAAACAACAAGAAAATGCACGTCTTCAGAATCAGAAGTCCAGAAAAAGAAGAAGAATCAAAAGCATAACAGTTCCAAATAAACGGAGGGCTTCATGGCCTTTCTATCATTGACCTGACAGCTTCCTTTCTCGAGGAAACCCAAAGAAGCACAACGAGAGAGTATTGAAACAGTGAGAGAAACAGACAGTCCGACACTTTTCTCATTCTTTCACTCTCCTCCAAAAGGCTACTTTTCTCTGCGTTTCCGAATGACGTGTTCCTCCCCCGGAACAAAATGAAGAGAGAAAGAGAAAGAGAAAGACTCAGGCACTCTCTGTCTTATTTGGGGAATCTCTGAGGATTGAAGAACGCACGGTGTTTGGTGAATAGCACGGCGGCTGCAGTGTTAAAACATGCTTATTTTGATTACAAGATGAGTGTCACGTGGTATTCAGATGATGTGTTTTTCTTCTGTAGATTCATGAGTGAAACTGTGTTCATCAAAGAAATAGAGATGTTATCGAGGAGATGGTATCCCCGAAAAGGGTTTAGTTGACCTAAATTTAGAATGGAATGAAAGGTGTGTTAGACATTCAGATTTTTCAGAAGTTTTGAAATAGGAAAGATCGAGATAGGAAAGAAATACCGTAAACTCTCTAATAGAAAGTCATTCTATAATTGCACCTATAGTTAGAGCTCAACTATCTCAATTTCTATAAGAGATATCAAAAAGTTGACAACTGATAAAATATTTCTCATAATATCACCAACATGCTTTCAGATGACAACTTTTTGATATCTCTTTTCGAAATCTAGATAATTTAGTTCAAAATGGAAATGTTTGAACGTACCTATACAGGAATTCAGAGTGAATTCCAAAATGTTTCCTGGCTTCTATTTCAACTCCAATTTCAAAATAAAAAATTATTGCCCAGACATAATACATGACTTCCTGTGGCACATAACAAAAAAACCAACCTTCCAAGACGGGAAGGGAAGTCGGGTAATATCCATAAATCTGAGAATATGGCACACATACACATATGACCTAATTACTCTGAGTACACAGACAGAAGGATATAAAAATGACGTGTTATGTGATGTTATGGGATAACATTAAAAGTATACATATAAGAAGGAACGATTTTCAAAATTTTCAATTTTCATCCCAAATCACTTCGATTTCCAAAATTTCTGTGAAGTTTCAGTAATTTCGCATTTTCTTTGCGGAGCGAAAAAAATGTTCAAATTTACATAAAAAACGATAAAGCCTTTTCGAGTAGTATTTCCTGTACTTGCAATAGAATTTTTTCGATACACAAATATATATTTATTCGGTGATAAAAAAGAACACTTGATGGGATTTTTCACAGAACTCGAACGGTTCGCGTAGGGATTCAAGAAGGGTCGTGATAAAGCAAAATGAGTATTAGGAAACTATCGTTGGACTTGTTGTTTTCCATAAAACGGATCCTTCGAGCTTGAAGATAATTTTTCGATGTGAGCTCTCTGTTGGCTGAAAAACTAGTTGAAAATTCTGAGTCGCATTGGAAGGGTTGAAGTAAAAATATAAATACCAAGCTTAAAATTTACCTTTGTCACATACAGTACTTTTAAATGAAATTGATCGAGATAGTGGAACATTTTTGTTCATAAGCTATAAAAGATTCCACGCGATGTTTTGAAAATTGGAAAACAACAAGTCCGACGTTAGTTAGAATTTCCAAAATCCCAGAACTCGAACCGTTCGAGTTCTGTGAAAATCCCAGAAATTGCAACGTTCAATTTCTGTGAATCACGTAAAATTTTCAAATTCCCAGGATTCGAAGCATTCAATTTCTGTGCATCACGTAACTTTTCGCAAAATTGAAAATCAACAGAAATAATGTCATTAAAACCATATTTTTCATGATTGCGTTGAAATAAAGTATTTCTGGACAAAAACACATCTATTATGACATTTATCAGTAGTTTAGTATTTTCTGTGACGAATTACAGAAATTTGGACCATTTTTGTTTATTCCTTCGAGAATTAAAAATTTTGAAAATCGCTACTTCTTATATTATAAACACTTTAATAGGAAAGCACCCTAAAATTGCGCTTATTGTAGAGCTCAATTATCTCAATTTCTATATGAGATATCAAAAATCTGTCAACTGATAAAATGTTTTTCATAATATTAGCAACATTTTATCAGTTGACAAATTGTTGTTATCTTTTATAGAAACCGAGATAATTTAGCTCAAAGTAAGGGTATAGGGTGGTCTTCTGTTACAGAAATCACAAAGTAGTGATAACCAGAGAGTAGCAATAAAACGGAAACATCCAAAGAAAATGCGAAAAAAAGGAGTTTCAATTTTTAGTCGACTTTTTTAAAGTTCAAAAAACTGTTACAGAAATAAAACTGTATTGTACCGTATCCAACTTTAAACATTATCTCGGTGTCTGGCAAAGATATAAAAACGTTGTCAACTGATAAAATTTTTATGGTATTTGGATACACATTTTATCAATTGACGATAATTTTGTATTTTCGACAGGTTCCCGAGATAATGTAGCTTAAAATTGAAAGTAGAGGGGNNNGCNCTNTGACTGCNCTCAAAACCAATAAAAAACTGAACAATCTATAAGAAAGAGAATGAATTAGATTACTGTTGCAACTCGACATTTATGGACCAAATTGCTCTCCAATGCACAGAAACTTATTCTGAAACAAATTTTTGAAATTGAGATGAGCGATTCAGAATTATGCCATTAGACTTTCCAACTAAAACTGGACGCCTTACAGAAACTTGGTTCGGAGGTCTAACGAAGTACTGTGTCGTCTCTAAACGCATTTTCCGAAGAAAAAGCGCAAAATGATATACTTTTCTTGTAAAAACCCCGATTAAATTGCGCCGAAGGCGCACTAGCTTGCTGGGGAAAAACGTAAAAAAATTCGAAAATAATCATCTGAAAAATAAGTTTTT